CCCACCTTCAGTATGGCAACAATCAAAATGTTCTCTGCATCTATGCATTTGTTTCTGTTTTGTTTGTTCAGTTATTTTGTTCTTTAGATTCTATATATAAGTGAAATCATATGGCATTTTTTTTCTCTGTATGACTTACTCCACTCAGCACAATACCCTCTAGGTCCATCCATGTTGTTGCAGATGGCAAAATTTATTCTTTTTTATGGCTGAGTAACATTCCATTGTGTGTATGTACCATCTCTTCTTCATGAATTCATCCATTGATAGACACCAAAGTTGCCTCCATATTTTGGCTATTGTGAATAATGTTGCAGTAAACATATGGATGCACATGTCCCTTCAAAGTAGAGTCTTATTCTTTGGATAAATACCCAGAAGTGGGATCACTGGGTCCTTTTTTGTCCCTTGTTATAGACTTTTTTAAAGTCTATTTTGTCTGGTATAAGTATTGTTACTCCAGCTTTCTTTGCTTGTTTCCATTATCATGAAATATCTTTTTCTAGCCCTTTATTTTGAGTCTGTATGTGTCTTTCAATCTGAAGTGAGTCTCTTGTAGGTAGCATATGTATGGGTCTTGTTTTCTTATCCATTCAGTCACCCTATGTCTTGTGATTGGAGCATTTGATCCATTTACATTTAAAGTAATTGTTGATGGATATGTAGTTATTGCCATTTTATTATTCATAATTTTTTTCATCTTCTTAAAGAAGTCCCTTTAACATTTTTTTAAGTACTGGTTTGGTGGTGATGAACTCCTTTAGCTTTTTCTTGTCTGAGAAGCTCTTTATCTGTCCTTCAATTCTAAAAGGTAGAGTACCCTTGGTTGTAGGACCTTCTTTTCATCACATTGAATATTTCATTAGAATGCCCTCTGGCCTGCAAAGTTTCTGCTAAGAAACCAACTGAGAGTCTTATGGGAATTCCCTTGTAGGCAACTAACTGCTTTTCTCTTGCTGCTTTTAAGATTCTCTTTGTCTTTAACCTTTGCCATTTTAATTATGATGTGTCTTGGTATGGGCCATTTGGGGTTCATCTTGTTTGGGACTCTCTGCACTTCCTGGGCTGGTACATGTTTTTCTTCACCATGTTAGGGAAGTTTTCTGTCGTTATTTTTTCAAATAGGTTTTCAATTCCTTACTCTCTCTCTTCTCCTTCTGGTACCCTTTATGATGTGAATGTTGGTATGCTAGATGTTGTTTCAGAGACCTTTGAAATGATTCTCATTTTTATTTTTTTTAGATTTTTTTCTTTGCTGTTATGATTGGGTGTTTTCTTCCTACCTTATCTTCCAAATCACATATTCAATCCTCTGCTTCATTTAGTATACTGTTGATTCCCTCTAATGTATTATATTTCAGTTATTGTATTTTTCATTTCTGAATAGTTCTTTTTGATGTTTTATATCTTCACTTTTATGTTTTTTTATCTCATTGTTGAAGCTCTCACTGCTATCATTGAGCATACTTACAAACAGTGTTTTGAACTCTGCATCTGGTAGAGTAATTGTCTCCATTTTGCTCAATCCTTTTTCTGTAACTTAGTTCTATTGTTTCATTTGGGACATGTTTCATTGTCTCCCCATTTTGGCTGCCTTCCTGTGTTTGTTTCTATATATTATGTAGAGCTGCTATGTCTCCTGCTCTTAGTAGAGTGGTCTTACGTAGCAGGTGTCCTGTAGGGCCCAGTGGTGCAATCTCCCTGGTCACCTGAGCCAGGTGTTCCAGGAGTGTCCCTTGTGTGGGTTGTATGTGCCCTCCTCTTGTATTTGAGCCTTGGTTGCTGTTTGCATGCCAGTGGGAGGGATCAATCCTTGGGCTGATTGGTTGTAAGGACTGGCTGTTACTTACAATGGAGAAGCTGCTGTGCAGTGGCTGACCCTATGGAGCAGGTTTTGCTTTAGCAGAGCTCTGATTCCTACCCAGTCTGTTCTTTGGCATGCCATCCACAGAGGTGGCTAGGTGGTGCTCTTACTCAGTGTGAAGCAGGCCACTGGGCATGCTAGCCCCCAAGGCCTCTTGGGAGGGGCCCTACCTCAGGCCATGTTTAACCACAGCCACCAGGCATTAGCCACACAACAATCTGCAGATGGCTGCCACCCACACTGGGCCTGGAGGTGCCTGGGAGAGGCCAAGCCTTGAACCGAGGCTGGCTGCCTCCAATGCCAGGCTTAGGGCTGCTTAGCAAGAGGTATGTGACATGCTGAGGACAGATGCTGCTTGTTTGGGGTATGTGAACATTTCAGAGGTTTTAGGAAAGTCCATATCATGAGCCAAGATAGGCTGTTTCTATGAAAAAGCCACTGAAAGTGGCTTGGGTGTGCTCAAAAGTTGGGTTGGAGGAGGCCTCAGGGGATCACCAGAATGGAGCAAATGGTGTTAGCCAGGTTGATGGAGACTCAGACATGGCGACTGCTTGGATCCCCACACTGGGAGGGGGGAAGTCTCAACAAAGGAACAATGGCTTCTGCCAGAACCTTTGCCCAGGAGAAAGCTGCCACTCCAGCCCTTTCCCTGAGATCAAAGGATTAAATTCCTCCCCATATGTCCCTAGCACCTTTCGAACTGCTGCCCCAGTGCTGGAGCTAATAATCAAGTACGCTAGTGAGTAAGTCCATGTATGGGCCCTGTAAGAGGAACACCTGCGACTCCAGCAATCCTCCATCTCATTCAGATACAATGTCTGCTGGTCACCATCAGAAGTTGTGAGGACTCCTCTTCCTGAAACTGAGACCATGGCTGGAAAGCCTGATGTGGGTCTGGGACCCCTGGCTCCTCAGGAGGTAACTACTTGGCTGAGACATCTCTCCCGATTTTCAACTGCCACATGCAGGTATGGGACCAGCCCATCCTGCAACTGCACCCCTTCTACCAGTCTTGAAGTGGCTTCCTCTGATTATCCCTAGTTGCAGGAGTTCTGTTCAGCTAGACCTCAGGCAATTCTCAATGATAGTTGTTCTGTAGCCGAGTTGTAATTTCAGCATGTTTATGAGAAGAAGCAAGCACAGCATTTACCCACTCTGCCGTCTTGACTAGAAGTCTGTAGACTCAATTTTGTAAAATAAATCTTAAGGGATGAGGTGAGACAGGTTTAATGGCATAAATCAAACCCCTATATCAGGTTCCTGAAAACTCAGGCATCCCCATACCCACATCTGGGCAAGATGAGGAGACAAGGTAAGAATCAAATTCATGACTGAGTTCCTGAATGATTTTCTGGATGTTCAAGGACAATCCACAAATGTGGGTGTATACAGAGATTGCTATTGGGTTGTCGGAAAAGTCATGATGTATTTGGTCTATGTTTTTCAAAGGTCAATTACTTATATAAAGAACAAAGATCAATCAATGATATATTGCATGTTTTGTTCAATAACCTTTTGCCGTCTTTCAGTGAGCTTCATAATTCCTCGTTCATAAAAGGACCTGTCTTTATTTGTGAAAAACTGAACAAGGTGCTGATTTACAGCCTCATATGAATTGAATATTATACCATGCAAGGAGTTTTGAAGAGAGCAAAACAAGTGGAAGTCTGATGGTGCAAGGTCAGGCGAGTATGGTGGGTGTGGCAACACATTCCATCCAAGCTCCAATAATATTTGACGGGTGAACAAACTTGTGTGTGGTCTCGCATTGTTGCAATAGAACACAACTCCTTTACAATTAACAAGCTCTGGACACTTCTGGATGATGGATTTTTTCAAACTGTCCAATTTCCGACAGTACACATTCAAATTGATTGTTTGGTTCCCTGGTAGGAGCTTGAAAAACACGACACCTTTAAAATCCCACCACACTGAGAGCATAACCTTCCTTTGATGAATGTCTGCTTTCGATGTCGTTTGAGGCGAATCATCACATTGGGACAAAAACCATCTGCACACCACATTGTTGTGAACAATCCACTTCTCATCACCAGTTATCAGTCGCTTCAAAAAAGGATTGTTCTCCTCACGTTTAATGAGCATATTGCAGATGTTTATATGCGCCATCAAATGAACTTCTTTGAGTACATGCAGAACCCAAATATCGAGCTTGCTTATGTATCCCAGCTTATTCAGTTTGTCGTGAATGCTTGAATGATGGATGTTCAGTGTTTCTGCAATCTCTCGTGTCATGTAATGTGGGTTTGACTCGATCAATGCCTTTATTTTGCTGTCATCAGCCTTGGTGGGCCTCCCTGACCGAGGAGCATCATTGAGATCAAAATCACCAGCACGGAATTTTGTGAACCATTGGCACTAATGTTCTGGTAGAGCATTGTCACCATAAACTTTATGCAACTTGTCACAAGCTTGACACGCATTCTTCTCTTTATGGAAACAAAACAGTAAAATATGGCAAAAATGCACAGTTTGGTCTTCCATCTTCAACTTGTTGTAAAATCTCCAAAACTCAACCAAATTGCTCAATTTTGTTTAGAATGAAGCTAGAACTGTCGGCTGTCAAATGACATAGCAATACCATAGATGTGAATGATTCTAGTGCTTCCAAAAATGAATTAGTGCCATCTGTTGCAAACATTCATCATGACTTTTCTGACAACCCAATAATTTATCCATTCATTCAATCCATAAATATGAAGTGAGTGCCAACTCAATGCTCAGCTCCAAAGTGACAAATACACAAAGACTAAATAAGTCAAATGGTTGTAAATTCCATGAAGGAAATGCTCATGTTGATATAACAGAGAAATGAGGTATGTATTCAGGAGAAGTGCCTTTTCATATAGGGTGGTCTGCGATGGTGTTTCAGAGAAGGTAATCCTTGAGCTGAGATTTGAAAGGCAATAAGGTGCCAGGAGTAATTGATTTTGAGGAAGGGCTAACTAATATAAAGGCAAGACAGAGTTTAGGACCCTCAAAGAACAGACAAATGTCTGATGTGGCCAAAGTTTACAGAGTGACAGGAGAGTGAGGGGACAGGCTGAGGCTGGGTGGTTAACAGGGACCAGACCATGCAGAAGAAAAGTTTTGTAAGTCGCAGAGTAAAATTTCTTACCTGTAGAGCTGAGGATGGGGGACAGAGACGTGGAAGATTCTGGAGAGAAGGTAAAAGTCATTGGAGCTGAGAAAAAAAATTGGAAAAATTATTGAGTTCCATCCTGAAGGAAGTGGGGCAGAAGCTATTCATTGGAATTTGGGCTTCTTTCTAGACTCAGGGCAAGACTTGGGTGAGTTAGGGGTTGCTGTGAGGCTCAGGCTGAACACTTTGGAGGGGACATTAGTAGCTTCTCTCCTGTAGAATGCATTCTAGGGAATAAGGGTGCACTGGGCATTGAAGTTTCAGTTTTGAATACTCACTGCTGGTGGCTGGGGTCCAGTACTGATGGTTATAACCTGCAGGTAGGGAGAAAAGAGTAAAGAAGTGCTGATAGGATGGGTAAGACTTAAGGAAACATAGATGGTAGACCTAGAAATGAAATTCATTAACAAACTTTCTGAGATTCATAAATGAGCAATAATAGCTTCATTTTATTTGGTGCCCTTATGTGCCTTGTCCTTTGAGAATAGTGATGAATATCATCACCATTATTATTGCTAAAATAAAAGTACAGTAATATCTTCCCCTATTTATTGGGAATGTACTATGCACCAGAAATAATACTGAACACATTACAAGGATAATGGGGCAAATATATGAACGAGTGTTTATTCCAAGCCTTACAGCTCTTACTGTATTTTTATGTGGAGGTAAAAGAGGAGTAAGATGGAGGAAAGGTAATGTACATGTGGTTAGGGACATTAGAGAAAATTTGCAGATGGGATGATATTAAAATAGAAGAGTCTTGGGGGTCAGGTGAATGGTATAAAACTTGGAGCCTAAAAGAAATTGGGGAAAAGAGAATTTTTCATGCGTGTTTCTCTTGGTCATGGATTGCATCCTCTTTGATGCTCTGGGAGATATGTGAGTAAAGACTGGACCCAGAGGAGCCCTGGGATTTCCTTGGGTTATTGCTGAATGATCTCATTTGATTTTCAGGACAATATTGCCTGGTATGTATGTTTGTTCTGTTCTATAAAGGGAACATTGGCTCTTAGAGAGGTTGTGTGGCTTGTCCATCATCACAAAAAACAGAGACTTGTCACTCACCAACTCCCTTATTATTAACGACCGCTTTAAGTTACTCCCAATTCAGGAGTTACATCTTCCATGGACATAAAGAAGGATTGCTATTGTTAACACAAACATATATTTCAAACCATATATAAAGGGAATTTCCAAGCTGATACACAGGGTCAATAACTCATCAAGCATTAGGCTAGATTGTTAGGCTAGAGGTCATTAATGCCCCTTCTTGTCTTGAGATTTGAGACTTTCTCTATATGAATGGTCTGCAGTGTTTCCTTGTGGTTAGAACTTGGACTTTAGAATCAACCTTGGGTTTGAGTCTTGACTGTGCCAATGCATATGGCTGGATTATCTTGGGCAGATGACTTCCTATATGAATGCATGATGGTGCTCTAGAAATGAGCATTATAACTCACAGGACGTAGGGTCTGGTTAATAGGAGATAATACAAATAAAGACCTTATCCCAATTCCTGGCACATAGGAACCTTTTGATAAGAATTAGCCATTATTACAGTTATTATTCTCGGCGTGAGCACTGCTGGTAGGGGCACAGTTGCCAGCAATGTTGTGTAAAGAGTTCTTTCATAGCATGTTAGTAACTAACTGTGGTGTTCTTTTGTGAACAGTTCCATGAGTGTTGTTCTGGCTGGCCCATGGGAACTTAGGAAATTGCCTTCTGTTGTCATGATGGAGAGAATGAAGTAGAGTGGGGGCTGAACTGGGCACCCACTGCCCACTGGGGAAGGCTTGACTGCAGGACCCTGTATCACCCACTGCTTTCTCTAGAGTTTGCATGCTCCCATTGGGCTCCCACAGGAAGAGAAAGCATTTCATCCCAGGTGGTGAAAAAGGAAAGAAAACCGGCCCCCTGTGGTATGTTAAGCATTCAAAAATGAGCCCCCAGGGAAATGTTAGGTTTGTATCAGAATCATGAATCTGCATTTAGCAATTTCTCAACTCAACATTATGGCCATTTTGGGTTACATAATTCTTCATGGAGGGAGGCTGCCTTGTTCATTGTGTGATCTTTAGCAGCATCCCTAGTCTCTAGCAACTAGATGACATTAGCACCCCTCCAGTCATGACATGAAAATGTCTCTGAACATTGCTGAAGGTCCGCTGAGGAGCAGAATCACCCCGGTTGAGAACTACTGGTAGAGAGAGACAGGGAACCATAGGAGACTCCAGCTGTAGCACAGACACTCACAAACACTCACCATTGACACAGAGACTGTCACTGTCCAGGGTGTAGGGGCCCAGCAGTGTGACACCAAAGGTCAGCTGACTTAGCTCCTGGTACAACTCTTCTCTGTCCAGCCCAGGGCCCATAGGATCAGGGTGGTACGTGCATATGGCGTCCACTCCAGTTGTTGCCCCATTCTTCTCAGTCCTTGGGTGGCAGGGTCAGGGAAATAGGGACATTCAGAGATACCAAGGAGTTACATACTTTCTTCAACTCTTTCCTTCAAATTGACTCATTCCCCCAAGTTTTATGACATTCTTCTTTATTGGCTCTTGACTGGTTTCTCAAGCATGTTCTTTTCTGGGTCCTCTTCGTCTAGGCACCTTCCTATTCTATAAAATGGCTGGTCTCCAGGGCTTTATCCTAAGTCAGCTTCTATTATTTTACCTCTCATTCTTCTAGGGTCATTTGGTCATACTCATTATTTCAGCTACTTATTATCATCAGGTCTGATCTCACACTGTCTGGCCAAGACTTCTCTCATGAGCTCTGTGCCATGTAGCCATCAGCCTCAGGGATGTCCTCCAGACCTCTTAGATTCCAAACATCCCAAATTAAGCCTACTATCTTCCCTCCTAAAAGCACAGAACCTGCTCCCCTCCCATATTTGCATATCCGGGACAGAACCAGAGAGGTAAGAGGGTTCCTGAACCTTTCCCCATCCTTTCTCCCCCGTCCGAGCAATCTCCAGGTCCAGTCCAACCTCTCCTGCCCCATCATCACTTCAAATTGTTCCATCTCCATATCTACCAGTGTCCTACTTAAAATAAATGACACCATGTCAGGGCTCTGCTTACAAGTTCAAGGTTTCCCATAGTTCTGAATAAGCATAACTAATATTTATGGAACACCTACTAGTTGTTACTTTTACATTTGCTCTCTTTTTATCTTTTCAGAAACTCTATGAGACTGATGCTAATATGATTTCCATGTTATAGGTAGGGAAACAAAGTCATACAGATGTTAAAGAACTTCCAAAACATCACATGACAAAAACAGGATGTGACTGCATGCCTTTGGACATGGAGACAATTAATGCTCAACCTTTTGCTGTGCAAAATGCTATGAGAACTCCTTAGTGTGCCTTTAACCCCAGCTCCAACCCAAACACTTGATGATATGCACTTAAAACTCATCACCCAATGTACTCACACAATGTACTCCACTGCACCCATCCATCTGTCAGCCAGTCCCCCAGTCAACCAACTTCCTTCCCTCTCTCTTCCTTCCTCCTTTCCTTCCTTCCTTCCTTCCTTCTTTCCTTCCTTCCTTCCCTCCCTCCCTCTCTCCTTCCCCCCTCCCTTTTTTCTCCCCTCCCTCCACCTCTTTCTTTCTCCTTCCTTCCTTTCTTCATTCCCTCCCTCCTCTCTCTCTCTCTCTCTCTCTCTCTCTCTCTCTCTCTCTCTCTCTCTCTCTCTCTCTCCCTCTTGTTTTTTCTTTTATTCAATTGCTATTTTCCCCACTCTACTCTCCAATTTCACAGAACTTCTCTTGTGCACCAGGATATTTCTCACATCTGCCTCATTACTTAAGCTATGCCACCCATTGAAATAGCTTTACCAATGTTTCTTCTAGCTAATGCACACTTAACTGTCAAAACTTAGCTCAGGCATCACCTTTCCAGACACCCTCCACTCAGCTTCCCCAGACTGAGCTAAAATTCCATTCTCGGGGCTCCTATGGACCCATGGAGTGCTTCATCATTGTACAACCCCATTCATAGAATGGTTTTAAGTCCATATGGCTGTTGTCCTCAAGACACTGTGGGCACCTTGAGGAAAGGGCCCAAAACTGAGTCTCTCAGTGCCCTTAGCACCTGTCACAGGGTGTGACCTGAGGTATCTCATTTCATGTTTGCTTAATGAGTCAATGCTTCACTTTCTGACCAGTGAGCATGAATGCTCTGTGGATTTTCTTATCCAAATAATTGAAGACCTTTGACAGCCACCTCTTTCAGGAAGCTCTCTCTGATGCATTGAGCCTGAAGGGATGCCTTCCAAGTCTGAACCGCTGGAAGGCCCCAATCATTTATGATTCTTGCTTTCTAGTTGTCATGTTCAGGTCCTCATCTCCAGATGAGCTTGCCTGTGACAATCTTTCATATAGTGTTATAAAGGGAAGTCTTACCTGAGCAGGGTCAGTCTGCAGCCAGAGTACAGTGGGCCAATGCTGGTGTTCTTGAACAAAGGACCAAGCTGAGGAGGAGGGAGAGGGAGGTAAGCTGGGGAAACGGGGTGGGACAAAGACAAGGCAAGCTGGTATAGGCATTTATGGGTCCTTACCAGGTGATTCAGGGCCTTCTCAGTGGAGTTGAACTTTGCAGAGCCTGAATGCCTCATATCTGGGGTGTAGGGCATGTTGGTGATGGTGAAACTGAGTGTAAAAGGCACTGGGGCTGGGCCCACATCTGCATTTGGAGGGAGGGAGAAAGAGGAGACCCATCCCAATCTTAGGCCTGAGCTGTATGTTGGGGAAGGGACTAGTGTTATCTTTCTTTCCATAGTGTCCCATTGCTGAGGCCTGAGATATCCCACCTGGGACGCCCTCCCTCCTCAGCCAGCCAGTGGGACCTCCATGCTAGATGTGTGATGTCAGCTCAAAAGGGAACTCAGCCCTTTCATCCTAGAGTGTTAAAAGGCTGACAAGTTGTGGACATTTTGGTGGGAAGAAGAGGGGCCGAGACTTTTTGTGCTCAGCTTTGGGCCACAAATACTTGAGCAGTTAAGAAATCCAAACCCTAGTAATTACCACAGAGGAAATTATCGTGGAGACTGAACCGAGACTAGCTATGCGTGGGAGATGAGGCACTGCTACTTCATAGGTGGTGGTCTGAGCAAGGGCATGCTTAGCTGAGATATGGAGGACAAGGAGGACCAGGCACAGCTGAGTTCCAAGAATAGTAAGAGCAAAAGCCCTGAGGATGGAAAGATGTTTGGGACCTAGAGGAACAGAAATGAGGCTGGTGTGGCCAGGGATTAGGGAGCGAGGTTGAGAGTGGGACAGGCTGTGGCCAGGTGGGCATCAAGTTCGTATCATGCAGGAATTCATCAGTCACTGAGTGGGAGTTGAAGTTTAATGGGACTCAGAGATTTGATTCCTACCTGTAGAGCTGGGGGTGGGAGTCAGAGATGCTGGGGATCCTGGAGGGAATGTGGAGGTAACCAGAGCTGAAAGAAAATATAAATAAAAACTGTGGAGCCCTATCATGAAGCAGTGAGAGGAGAGAGCTGTTCATGAGGACTTGCTCTGGGGCTGACAGCCCAGGGGATGGGGACTGTTTTCCCTCTGGGGAGCAGGGTTAGGGAGGAAGGTTGTTAGAGACATAATGACACCCAGACCCTCGTTACTCACTGCTAGTGGTGGGGAACCAGTACCGATGGTTATAACCTGCAGAAAGAGGCAGAGAGGACGAGTAAGATGATGGGAGGAGATTAAGAATGGCCTGAGGGGTAGAACTAGGGCCAGAATCACACAACCGCCCTGAATTCTTTCTCTAAGATTTGTCATAAGTAATAACAGCCACTATTTATGTGTTAACTGCCTGATACTCTGGTGCTCAGGATAATTTCATCCTCACTATTACTAACCAGAAAGACAACAATGATCAAAGCACCCTCAATGCTGTGAGGGTTTACTAAGAGCCTGGAATAATATGAACCTCAGCAAATGAATAATAGGGACTACACTGTTACATGAATGTTTCCAGCCTTATTCATGTTTTCTTTACTAATTTTGTCCTTACTCTCTGAGTTTCTCCCACTACCCAATTCTCCAATGAGAGCTTGATTGGTGACAGTGTAGTTCTGGACTTCTGTAATGTGAGATAATGAGGGAGAGAGATGGGGATGGAAAGAGAGGGAGAAGTGGGCTTGTGGAGAGAGGAGGGAGTTGGGTGTCAACCAGAGTATGAAGTTGAAAAATTAGAGGAAATAGGAAAAAGAGGATTTGAATAAGTATGGTTCTGGATCATGGATTGGATTCTCTTTGATGCTCTGTTAGTAATGCAAGTAAAACTTTGACTGATCTTATGTTTGGTGGTCTGAATGGGTTTCCTGGAGTGAAACTCCTCTCGGAGACTGGGCCAAGTGGAGCCCTGTGATTTACTTGGGTTACTCAGGTTTTATCTCATTTCACCCTCACAATAATCTTAGTTGACTTTGCTTTTAAAAATTCCATTCTGAAAATGACACTGAAGCATACAGAGGTTTCGTGGCTTGTCCACATAGTAAGCAAAAGGCAGGGGCTGAGCTTAATTAAAGCAAGATCTGTAATTCACCAAAACCCACACTGGTAACTACTGCTTTTAAGTAATCTCCAAGCTCCAAGAACTACTGAAATCTAATACAGGTTTTAATCCAGGTAAAAAGAAATTGTCCATGGTGATATAATGGGACACAATTAATCAAGCTTTAGTTTAAATTGTTATATTAGAGGCCCATTGGTATACCTTCCCAGCCTGATATTTGAAGCTTGTTCTTTTTAGATTAGCCTACAGTGTTGACTAGTAGTCAGGGGGTCCTAGATTTTAGAGTTTAGGGTTTGATTCTGGAAACTACCACTTATATTAATTATCTGACATTGAGAAATGGATTTGCCTCCCCAAGTCTTATTTTCTCTTCTGTAAGATATACATAAAACCTTAGAGAGTGTTGGGTAAGATTAGTGACACATAATACATGTAACATCTGGGTCATAGGAATTCCTCAATAAATATTAGCCTTTATTGTAGGTGTTATTGTGGGTGTTGTTGCTAAGAGCATTGTTGCAAAGGGATTTATTGCTAAGACATTACTAATAGCTTTGTTTGTTTCTCAGGTGGGGTATAGCTCCAGCTGGCCCTTGGAGAATGGCTAAAGGGCTACAAGCTGCCATAAGAAATCAAAAGAAGCATATTCATCACTGCATAGGAAACCCACTGCCTCTTGGGGAAGAGTTGACCCCAACGGCTTTCATGGGCTTGCTTTACCCTCATCCTTCCCTGATGTCTGCATGCTCTGTTTGGACTTCTGTGAATGGACATTGGAATGAAGACTAAAGGGAACCTTTATACCCAGACCTGGAAAGGTGCACTCTAGATGTTATGAAGGGAGAGAACTGAGACCCCCCCTGGAAATTCTAGATTGGCCAAGAATTACAAACATAAGTACCGAGAAATTGTACTGCAAAGAGACCCGATCTGGGGAGCAGGAGGTCCAAACTCCAGCAGAGTTACTCACCATTGACGGAAAGACTGCCCCTGTCCAGGGTGTAGGGGCCCAGCCGTGTGACATTATGGGTCTGCTCGCTCAGTTCCCAGTACACCCGCTCTCTGTCCAGCCTGAAGCCTGTGGGACCTGGGTGGTGGGAGCAGGCTGCATCCACCCTGGTGCTTGTTCCCTCCTTCTCAGCCCTGGGGAAGGAGGGATGTGGGAATAGGGACATATAAGAGCTGAGTACTCTTGACCTTTCCTTCCTTTAATTGCACCCCTTAGTTTTTATGTCAGCACTCTTCCCTGAGTTTCATCTGCTTCCTCACTTGCATCCTTTTCTGTCTCGTGTGGGGATCCAGACCCCCACCTCCTTAAATGCAGTGTTCCACACGTTACTACAGCTGCTCCTTAGGTAATGTTCTTCTTGTCCCCATTGTCTTTTAATTAATTGGTTGAAGCTCATTGTTTCAATTACCAGCCCCCAGGACACTCCCTGTCCATTCATGATGGTAAATACAGATGGTGTCACTCCAGCAATAGCTTAGCCCTGCTTGAGCCATAAGGTTGGGGATGTGGGGCTCCCAGGGAGGAAAATACTGAGGATCCTGGAGCCAGGCAGCATGTGGGAGGGAAAAGCAAGAGGATTAGATACCTTGGGGAAGGTAAGCAAACCATCCCCATGGCTGGTTGTGACACTGGGCAACCACCACCACAGAGCCTGAAAGGGGGAATTTTATTTCAAGATTGCAAATCCCAAGGCCAAGTTAACAGTTTGGAAATACATTTTGGGTAGGCAACCAAGTCTGGAGGAAAACAGAAAATGAGTTAGGTAATCAGGGGCAATTGGTTCAAAAATATCTTTGTCCTGAATTTAAGCTGATCCTACAGCGATTCACTCAAAGCAGGGGCTTTACAGGTAGGAAGAAAGATCCCCTTCCTACCTTGCCTGTGAATTCTGTTTGTTATGAACCATGCTATTCAAAGTGTTCTCATTTTATACCCATAAAGCATTGTGCAGAGGTTGTCAAAGCATGGCCCAGGGACCCGTGGTGTTCCAAAAACTGTTACAGGGAGTCCAATAAGTAAAGAATATGTTCATAATAATCCTAAGACATTATCTTCACATTCATTCTCTCAGGAGTATACAGTGACATTTTTTCCCAGAGACCATGAGATCACATATTGTAAAAAACTGAATGCAGAAGCAAATATTACAAGAAGTTGCAAAAATGTAAACAATGGCCATCGTTTTTGCATATATTAACTCAGTTTAATCATATCAACTCTTAAACAAAAAAAATCTTCCAATAGACAATAGTTCACAGTAACTGCAAAGCTTATTCACAACTTCTAAATGCCTAACTATTATGTTGCTTTGCACATCTAAAACTAATAAAAAATAGCCATGGGGATATATAGTACAACATAGGGAATATAGTCAATCATATTGTAATAATTATGTACAGTGTAAGATAGGTAATAGACTTATTGGGGTTATCACTTTGTGAGGCATATAAATGTCTAATCACTATGTTGTTTTATACACGTGAAACTAGTAACAAAAAGAAAGTTTATAGCATTAAAAAAACAGTCGTGCTTAGCATTCAAAGAAGATATTGTGGAACTGTAAAAACTTTTACCAGGGACATCAGCTTCTGACTTTAAAAATTACAAATACTGAAACATTTTGGTATCAGACACAATAGTTTTGACATCATCTGTTAATTTGATGAGTTTCTAGAAGTTCGGAAAATTTTTTCTCTATAATTGGAAAAGAGCTTACTCTACACTAAACACTTTCAAATGTAGAAAACAAACTAACAAGCTATGCATACAAAATAAAAAAGCCCTCTAGGATAAGCTCTCCACCTGTGACTGCAGTGGCCATCTTCTCATTGTGCTTTTTAAGTGTGTGTGTGGGGGGGGCAAGGGAGGGAAATAGGGCTATTGCTTATAAAAATATATCATTTATATTAACATGTAGTAGGGGTTTTTTTCATTAGTTTCAGGTGTACAAAGAGACATAGGTTTATTATTTTTAATGAATGAATGAATAAATAGAAATTTTCTGTTTTTATTTCTAGTATAGTAAACATGGGCAGATATGAACCCCAAGTCCAAGGGCTCTTTGGAGTTCTGAGTACTTTTAAGAATGAAAAAGGTTGTTTAACCCAGTGAGCTTCAGTACTGCTGGTACCATGGATGAAAGGAAGTACTCGAGAACCAGAACACCAGGTCCAAATCCTAGCTCCTCCCAAGCAAGCAACTTGACTACCGTGAGCCTCAGTGTTCTCACCTGCAAGGTGGGATCATGGTTTGTGAGGATGAAATGAATAAAAATGTGCAAGTCACTTAGATTATTGGGTGGTATGTACTATGAGCAATATTATTATTATTGATTTCCCTATATTATGGAGAGATGGGGGCAAGTGTGGTGGGTTCAGCTCATTGGGGGACAGTTTTGATCTATGATACTCCAGGAATCTCTCCTCATGGAGTGATGTGGGTAGAGGACCCACCGCTCTGGCAGGATGACTTGAGCTGGCTGGATGGAGGAACCCACAGAGAGGCCATAGACTCATCAAGTGTAAGGAAAGGGTCCTGAGCCCACTGACCTCAGAGGATACAGAGCAGATGTAGGCAGAGAAGAGAAGACAGGCCATTTCTGCAGAGTTCAGGTCCATTTGAGAGTTTTAAAATGGCAATATATCCTGCTGGTACTCAACATTTGGTTTCTTTTTCCCTTTGGTTCAGTAAGGTTACCTTTGGGAAAGTCTCTACCACTTCTCAGGGAATAAACTGCAGAGCTGCGCTATCCAGAGTTTGTCTCCAATCAGGTAAATATGAGCTGGGACAGGGAGAGTGTCAGGGGTTTTGGGAACATAGTTGGTAAAGACACTACACCAGTTAGTACTACAAGATCCCATTAACTGAGCACTCACAATGGGGCAGGCATTTAGATGAAGGATTAACAACCCCAGGAGTAAGGCAGTTATTATCATCATGTTATAGATAGTATGATTAAGAACAGAGGTTATGTGACTTGCCCAAAGTCACACAGCAAATGGAAGAGCAGGGGTTCAAACTCAGGTGCTATGTTATACTGCTACTTGGCAAGGACTCAGGCAACTGTGGTTGACCAGGATGTGGGGGCCAAGAAAGTAGAGAAGTAGGGTTTCTGTAAGTGCTTTAGAGGTGGTCTCACCTGAGCAAGGCCAGTCTGCAGCCAGCATAGAGGGAACCGATGCTGCTGTTCTTGAACAGGGGCCCCAGCTGAGAAGAAATGAGAGGGCAATCAGCAGGAGGGGCAATGACAGCAGAGAGCAGCAGGGTAGGGAGATGTGGGAATATGTGGGGAGCTCTCACCAGCTGCTGCAGGTTTCTCTCTGTGGCATTGAATATCTCAGAGCCCAGGTTTCCCATGTTCTCCATGTAGGACAGGTTGGTGATGGTGAAGTTGACAATAAAAGTCATCAAGAAAGGAACTGCAGCTGCAGTGAGGGGGAGAGTAAGATGATGTCAGTCCAGAGTCAGGCCTCAGGCTGAGGATGGGAGAGAGCTCTCAGGTACACCTTAACTCCAGGGCCAAGCTGTCCTTGAGATACCTCGTGTAGCAGACACTATCACACAGAGTAGCCAAACATCCCAGTTTCCCCTGGGACCATGTGTGTTCCTGGGATATAGTCTTTCAATTTTAGAAGTGCAACTGTCCCAGGCCAACTGAGGTGAGTGGGTCACCCTAGGCTATTCCCACTCCCCTTGGCTCTTACCATTTCAGCACACACCAGTATGCATCTCTTTGTCTTGGGGAAGTTAACAGGCCCAGGGGGCATCCCTCTAGCAATGATGGGTGAGAGTTGGTGGGTAAATACCCCAGCTCCCCCACCCTCATGTGGGATGATTCTAAGGTGCATGTTGTACACATTCTCCCCTCCAGCCTTCAGAAGTGTGAGACAACAAGTTTCTCAGGTTGAAACCTCCCTGTTTGTGGTACTTTATGGCATCCCTGGCAAACTAATACACCAAATAACCCAACAATTACTTTTCTAGTACAGGAAGTCCTCACTTAACATCATCGATAGGTTCTGCAACTTTAGGTGAAGCGACATATGAAGACATCAATTTTATCATAAGCTAATTGATATAAACAAGAGTTAAACTTCTATGGCTTCTTATCAATGTTATAATGCAATGACGTTGAACAAATTGATATTGTTTGAGGACCTGCTGTAAATAACCAAAATAATTGGAAACAGGGACTCAAATACATACATGTTCATAACAGCAAGGTTCAGAGTTAGTCAAAAGGTGGAAATCCCCAAGTGTTCATAAACAGAAGAATGGACAGACAAAATGTGGTCTCTCCACACAATGGAATATTATTCATTCATAAACAGGAATAATGTGTGATTCTTGCTACAACATGGAGGAACCCTGAAAACATGATGCTAAGTAAAGTAACCCAGACACAAAATGACCAATATATTATACAATTCCACTAACATACAATATCTATAATAGGCAAATTCATGGAGACAGTATATTAGAGGTTACCAGGGACTGGGGGAGTAGGGGAAGGGGGGTTATTGCCTAATGGGTACACAGATCCTGTTTGGTATGATAAAAGAAGTTTTAGAAATAGATAGTGGCAATGGTTACATAGCAGTATGAATGTAATGCCACTGAATAGTACATTTAAAAAGGTTAAAATATATAAGATACATAGATAGATAGATAGATAGATAGATAGATAGATAGATAGATAAATAGAAAAAAATGTATTCTTACTTGTTCCTGAATTCACATTCACAGAGGCCAAAGTGGACATCTCAGGCATGGTCACAGAGACAAAGGAACTTCCAGACAGTGAACTGACAGTGGTTGTGGTCTCAGCCATGGTGGGGCCTGAACCTGTGACAGCCAATTTAGTGGTCTCAAGAGTTGTAGTTTTCAAGACAGTGGTTGGCCTTGATCCATCATCATAATTTGATTTCAACGCAGTCAAGGTCACAGTGCCCCCTGTCATAGATTTGGAAAATTCTGAGAGTCCATCTGAGGTTGAAGGTGGTGAGGTTTTTGTGCTCCAAGACATTACAGGATGAGTCTCACCAGTGGTAGCAGGGGTAACAGTAGAGCCGAGAACACCAGGGAAAACACTAAGAGTCAGAATACCTGTACTAGTTGCTGATGCACTGCTGATGGGCAGTATATTAGTAGTCTCTGATAAACCACGAAAACGAGTTGACGTTAAAATACTTGTACTGAAGTCTGTCCTAGGATGGAGAGAGAGAGAGGCAGTGACATCAGCTAAATGAGGAAAATCAGTTGAAGAAGGAAAAGCCAAGCTTGTCTCTCCAATGGGAGAAAGAGTGAGAGTTGGAATGGCAATGTTAGCATCTGTATCAGAGGTGACAAGTGAGGTCACTTTATCTGAAACATCAGGAGAGACAATCAAGGTAGAAACAATTGAAATGGCCTCAAATCCGGGATTAGTGGCAGTTGAGGGTGAGTTTTCTGATTCACTACGGGAAGAACGTGGAGTTGTTCTAGGTACAGGGGTGCTGGTCCCTGCAGAATGGATCCATGAGGCGGTTGCATCTGTGTCTCCAGAAGGGACAGTTGAAGGTGGAGCAATGGAGCTGGCCTGTGTCCCAGGATGGGTGGTCCATGAGGCCGTGGCCTCGGGTTCGTGTGGGGAATCGGTCGGAGTAGGAA